GCCTGGGCTGGGACTGGTCCCGCCGGCGCAGGGTAGCAGGAAGCTCTCCGCACACTCACCGGCCCTAGGCTAGGACTGGGTCTCAGTGCTGTGTTTTTATACACATTATTTAACCATTCTCTTTTAACATTGTGATATTGCTCGTACAATAAAAATAAGTACACTGCTGTGGGGAGAGAGGAAGAGAGAGAGAGAGGAAGACAGAGAGAGAGAGAGAGAGAGAGAGAGAGAGAGAGAGAGAGAGAGAGAAAATTTTGAAGTGTTCTGACCTTATTGGCTCCCAAGACAACTAAATGGTTAGGGTGAAAACTCAGCAACATGTTTATCATTGCTGCCTGTGGCTCGCACTTTCCTGCTGTTTGGCACATTTTCGGTTGCAGCTCACTTTTTCAGTTCTCACTGCCCCCAGAAGCACTGAGCTGCTTGTGGCTGGCGCAGCTCCTTCCGTCTTCAGGCAGAGAGAGCGGGTGGCCCAGCCTGCAGCTCTGCTTCAAGGCCCTGGTTTTACCCAACTTGGCAGTAACACAGCCTTGGCCTCCTCACAGGCCAGTTCTTTCATTAAAATTGCCCTCGTGAACCTGGGATAATGGTCGTGGCTCTGCCTGTTGGCTCCCAAGCAAGCTGTTTTCTCCAAGTGTGCCGTTAGTTTCCGGAAGCAGGCACATGCCACATGTGGCAGTGGGCTGCAGTATGAATGAGCCTGATGCTCCTGGTTCAGGAGCTGTCAGGCAAGCAGGGGTAGTGCCTCTTGTAGAGGCTGCCTTTCCAGGAAAGGAGGGGCCCACCTCTAGGTTTATACAAAGGTAGGAATCTGCCTTTCACCACCTAGAAGATGGAAGGACTATAAGGAGAATTTAAGCCAGTAATCACGCAAATTCTAGCAGTTTGAATTTTGATAGTGTTTACAAGCAACAGCATTAGGCAATTTCTGAACACATTTTAAGCTCTGAAGAATTTAGTTTTAGCTGCTTACTCATATCCAAGCATTGTCCCTGGGAAGTGAGGATCTCAGTGTGGTTTGCCGAGTTTGCAGTTGGTTCCAGGCAGCCTGGGCCTTCACCATGCCATGCCTCTGCTTTCTGAACCAGTGAGGTCTGGCGCTAGGAAGAGTTACTGCCTCCAACAGGGATTATTAGGTGGCTACATGGCCCAGGCTGTGGGGAAGGTACGTGGTAGCGATGACCATGGCACTCAGGGCCTGTCTCAGTGACGCGTCTCTTGTTGCTGGAACAAGTACCTGACACTCAAAGTGAAGGAAGCGAAGGCTTATTTAGCTCACAGTTCCTGGAGGTTCAGTCCATACTCAGCTGGCTCCAAGGCGAAGTGGCACATGACAGAGAGCGACCTTTCAGGGTGGCAGCAAAGAGCAAGAGAGCAAAATGGAGAAGTAGCAGCAACAATGGCTGCAGAGAGCAAGTCAGTCTCTCTGTCTCTCTCTTATCTTGCATCCAGGCTCTCTGCCCCAGGCTGGGGGTAGTCCTCATACCCATAATCCGAGCAGTACTCAGACCCATAATCCCAGCCTTGGATCATGAATGAATCACAAACTGTAGTACTGGGCCTTAGTGACTGCATGAGGCATTGGAGGGGCAAATACACACAAAGCATAGCATTCCACCCCTGGTCTCCCCCAAACTCATGCTCATTCCATTGTGCAAAAGACATTTTAGTCCATCTCTAAGAGTTGTCAAAGTCCCAACAGTTTCAGCATTGTTGAAAAATCCGAGTCCCAAGTCTTCCCCAAGATTAAGGCAAACTCTTAGCTGTGAGCCCCTGTATAAATAAAAGTTAAACACTTCCAACATTCAAGGGCACAAGATAAACATTACCATCCCAAAAGTTGCAAACAACAGGGGAATACAAAGCATTGGGATCAACACAAGTCCAAAATCCGGCAGGGCAAACAATAAATCCTGTAGTTCCATGCGGAACATCTGAAGCAATCTGTGGCAAATAGTGAGCTCATTGTAGCTCCACCCCATTGTGGTCTTGGTGTAGTTCCCATGGCTGCTCTCTTAGGTTGGCTTTGCTCTCTCCTTGCACTTTCTTTCAGATAATTCATGTTCCTGGCTTTTCCAAACTTCTGGAGTTTTCCCTGCACATTAAGCTTTTCACTCTCTGCTTCACACACTGCCTGCTCAAGGACACACTACCTGGCCTTTCAGGTTTTCTGAAATCAAGGCAGAAGCCTTCTTAACCTCAGAACTCCTGCATTCTGCGTGTGCCTAAAACCAATGCCACATGGATGATGCCAAGGTCTGCTGCCAGCTGGAGCAGCAGCCAGGCTCTCTTCTCTCTTGGCTGTAGGGTTTGAGGACCTAGATTGCTGAGCACTCTGACCCTAATTCTGAGGAACAAATTCTCTATGCTGGCTGCATTCTGGAACCTGGTGTGGCCACTGCTGCCATTCTGGAACATGGTGCTCTGTGGCTTTTTCCCCAAGGTGAAGTTCTTCACCCTTGCAGTTCTGAAGCTGCAAAGGTTGAAGACCTGCTACCTCCTGCGATGCCCTCAGGCCATCTTTTTCATTCTCTAGTTCCTTACCAGCAATGGAGATCCTCTTAGCTCTATCTTTGCATTCCACAGCTTTATTGGAGCTTCCTTTCAGGTCAAACTCACCTTTTAAATCATCCTGCTGAGCTCTTTGCTCTTGATTCTCAACATAAATCTGGCTAAAAGCCCCCAACAACAGCCATACCACTGCCTCACTATTTGGCTGTTTTGAAATTTCTTTTGAAAGATTAATCAGTCTGCCATACTTAGTCTCAGGCAAAGTCTCTGGACATGAACAAAATTCAGACAAAATTTCGGCCAAGCAAAACCACCAATCATCTGGAGTCCAACAACCAATGCAGTCCTTTATCCCATCAGAAACCACCCCAGTCTGTTTTTTACAGGCAGGATTTCTATCAAGCTTTGCAAAGGGTCTGGTCTTCTGATCTCTGATCAGAATCTCCCATACAAAACAGCCAAAGCTGTTCCAGTGCTTCACTTATAGGCAACATCTCTGAACCTTTCCTATCTCTTCCCATAAGCCGTTCCGAAAAGCTCGTAATCCACATGGTCAAGTTTACCCATAGCAACAACCCCACTTCTCTGGTACCAAATTCTGTCTCAGTTACTCTTTTCTCATTGCTGGAACAAATACCTGACACTCAAAATGAAGGAAGGAAAGGTTTCTTTAGCTCACAGTTCCTGGAGGTTTCAGTCCTTACTCAGCTGGCTCCAAAGAAAATGGCACATGGCAGAGGGCAACCTTTCATGGTGGCAACAAGGAACAAGAGAGAAAAATGTAGAAGTAGCAGCAACAATGGCCAGAGAGCAAGTCAGTCTCTCTGTCTCTCTTATGTTACATTCAGGTTATCTGCCACAGGCAGGGTGTAGCACTCACACCCATAATCCCAGCAGTACTCAGACCCATAATCCCAGCCTTGGATCATAAATGAATCATAAACTGTCAAACTGTTCCTCAGTGGCTACATGAGGCTTTGAGGGACAAATACGCACAAACAATAACAGGGCCTTAAAGGAGAATGAGGTCAGACCCTACAGGATTTTACCCATAATGTCTTGGATTGTACTCTAACAGGCTTAAAAACCAGGTTTAAACCCTAGGAACCCAAAGATACTGCTGGAGGACCTTCCTCTGTTGCATGCTGGTGTTGGTCCAGCCCAGTGCCTTTTGCCATAGCCCACCTAGCTGTCTACCCAGCAGGAACAGCTGAAGAAGGCAGAGGGCTCAGCCTCTGGGACCTACCATGAGGCTGTGAAAGTGAGTGACCACCCATGCACTGACCCCAACCACTTTGATGCTTAAGAAGCCAATTCAGAGGCCAAACAGAGCAGCTCAGGTGCTGGCTCCACCTTCTCTTAGCAGGTGGAGAGGCTTTGTGAAGGCTCAGCCTGTTGATGCCCTGACCCTCCCCAGCAGGGCTCTCCATATGACATGTTACCCAGAACCTCCAGGGCAAGATGGGGTTCCTACTCATAGTGTGCTTACCTAGCCACATCCTTTAAAAAAATACACACAAAAACAAAAACAGACCTGGGCCATTGCATAGCATTTTCATTATTTTATTAACAAATGAGATAGTAAAGAGCGAGTTATTTAGAATATCACCACCCCAGCCCCGCTCAGCATCTGCCACGTGCCGGTCTTGGTGGTGGGTGTCTGAATACCATGCTTTTCTGGTGGAGTTGGGAGCCAGTTCACTGCATCCTGGCCATATGCAATTTCCCTCCAATGGCTCAGGGGCAGGTAGAGACTTCCCCCTTCAAGAGCCAAGGAGAGAAGGGCTTCCATTTGGATGCCAGGTCCCATTTGAAGCAAATGCATGACTTCTTCCTGGAACAGGGGTGTCACCCCGGGATGCAGTCTTCCATGGAGGTCAGCTGACACAGCAGACAGCCAGAGTAGTAACACCACAGCATGAAGGCACCATCCACACTCTTAGACCAGCTAAAAGGGCATGCTCTGATCTGCTTAAGCATGCGGGAAGACTCCAGGACCAACACCAAGGCCTCTGATGGGCTCCTGCAACCCCAAGGAACGTGGCTGAGCCCAGTCTCCACTGCTTACACCTCAGTGTCTACAGCTGTGAAGTGGGATCAGTAGCAACCCAGGAGAAGAAGAGGCAGGCCTGGGTTCAGCCACAACACCTCATGCTCATGGAGTATCTTCTTTCCAAGAAATTTGGCAACACATCCTCAGCTCTTCCAAGAAGACATCAGAGACCCATGCTCCAGAGGGTTCTCAGGACAGCACCTGTGCAAGCTGAGGTTAGCGTCTTTTGTTCTCCTCTGTCTTATTCCCATGGATTCAGATAAAACAGCTGTGGATAAGCGAGTAAGTCTCTTCACAGGAGAGAAAGTGTGTCACTGTGTGGCAGTAACTACAATGGCTCACAAGACACACTCAGCTTCTGCAGAATCCTCACAACTGCCTGGCAGGGCACCTGCCAGCTGGGCCTCTTCAAGGAGGTTGGTTTGCTTGGTGGAGCAGTGGGACCTCCACGGCCCTCTTGCAGCAGGGCATGGCACATGCCAGCTGTGCAGAACGGCATCCGGTGCTGAGAAGCTACCAGGGCGAAGACCCCACATGGGAAAGTCTGCTCAGAAACAGATGAGCCGCTTCTCCTCTTCAAAGGCTTTGGCCTCCTCTGGTTTTATCAAGTTTCCATTGAGACTTTTGAGAAAGAAACAAAACAAACTTTATACAGATAAAATGTTAGGGACTGTTACCTGCTCCTTCCAAACGTGCCCCTAACACAAGCTTGTACTTCCTGGGAACATGCACTATTCAAATAGCTCTTTATTAGTAACACGAATCCCCTCCAGCTGCCAGCACTCTACCAATCTGCTCTGAGGTCACTGGCAGCCTCCATCAGCCTGTCATGTGCTTTTAGGTCTTGTCTTTCTATTGGACCTTCCTGACCTCTCTGTCCTTCTGTAAGCACCACCATCCCTTGGCTTAGCATTAACATTTTTCATGTTTCTCTGGGTGCCCTAACCCCATTTCTTTTCCAGCATACCCTTCTGTGTGACTTCTCAATACAGGATTTTTTTGCAAGTCTTGGACCAGGCCCTTTCCCCCAGGCCTCTTCATCAAGTCACAGTGCCACCCCCAGCTCAGGGGAGCCCATTTCCTACTTGCTAGCTTCCCTAGGAGACCTCCAGGAACCCTGAAGAGTCTGCACCTCTCTTGGGCTCACTGAAAGGTCCCACTCTTCATAGTGTCACAGGAGCCTCCCTAGGGTCCATCTTGATGCCTTCTTCTCATCCTCAGAGTCCTTCTCTCACAAAATTCTACCTATCCTATCACAAAATTCCTGACCACCCTAGAAAACCTCTAGACCAACCTAGAGACCAACCTAGAGGTTCCACGCCTCTCTGGAACCTCTCTCGAGCCTCAGCCTGCAACCTCATCTGAGCATTCAGCTCTTCTGGGGACTATGGCAATGCTCCACTGACTGCACCCTTGATTTGTGTGCCGGCCTTCCAGCTCCCAAGAGGAACCAAGGTTGCTTGCTTTATCTGATGTACCTGACCTTATCCCTCTTCTGTTTCAAACCCTTCAATGACTTAACTTTGTTTTCAGGACAGAGAACGAAGCACAAAATATGACCCACAGATCTCTCATAGCCTAACTTCTCTGCCTCTGCCGCAGCCTCCTCCTCCACAGCCTGCACCAATGACACATCAGCTTCCTGCAGCCCTGTATGAACACCAGCCAACCCCATCCCCCAGAGCACTGCTCACACTGTCCTCCTACCTGCAGTGCTTTCACCTCAGCTGACCCACTCCTGTCCACCCTGTGTGGCTTAGCTTAACGGCTGTTTCCCGAGGAGGCCTGCCCCGAAAACTTCTCCACCAGATTCTGTCCTGATCTGCCCCTTCATGGAGCCCACTCCTCACAGTAACTAATTACTTGAATGATTTTTCCCCCTGAGGAAGAATGCATCTCCCTCAGAGACAGTGAACCCAAGAGGGCGGCCCCGTATTGTTCGCCACTAGATCCTCGCTGACAGCACAGCACCTGACACTCAAGCATTGTGCTGCTCAGGGAAGGAATAGAGACACAGTGCTGGCCCCTGGTGACACACCTGAGACCATGATGTAGGACCAACCCTTAAGGAGCTCACAGTCTACAGGAGACCACCACATGGAAAGAAGGAAGGCTCTGTCTTTGAAGACAGAACTTATCAAGGGACTTTAGAGGAAGTTCCCTTTGGAGAAGAATGAGATAGAAATCAGTGCCTGTAGAAAATGAGTTCAAGAAGGTGCCCTGTCCATGTCAGCAATGGCTGCCAGCTGCAGCCCAGGGACAGGACCAGAACCCCCCCAGAGTCCAGACTCATGAGGTCACACACAGCAACATCTTTGTCCTGAGAGCAAGGTAGGAGCTGAAAAGAAGATGCCTAAAGGCCAGCACCTGAGCCTCCTGTCCTGCCCCCTACGAGTCAGTGGGGGAGGCCCCTTGCCATCTGACACAAATGCTCACTGCAGACTGAGGAAAGCACTCCCCAAAGCTAAGTCTGCCTGTTCCTGCTCAAGTAGGTCATAGCTCAGGGACAGTGGCTCTCAGGAGGAAGAACACGTATCCTTTCCAGCCTGACAAAATTAAAGCAGCTTCAGACTTACACAACTGTCCTTCCTCATGTGAGTGCAGTGGAGGCCAGCTGCGGTCCTTGAGCTCTTCTGAAGTCTGGCTGGCTTCCTTCACCACCCCAGACTCCAACTACCATCCTCAACCCCTCAAATTGGCAGGCAATGGTACAGCACAAGGGCAGGGTCATGGTTAGGGTAGCTGGAGATGCAGGCAGATACACGTGCACTCCAGCGCCCCCCAACGCCTTCCAGGCTGAGGAGTCCCTGGGCTTCACAGGACCAATACCATAGTGTTGTCCTGTTGCATTTCTAGGCAGCATTTTTCAAAAATGTTTTGACTGTGTCCCCACATAAGAATCAGATTTTACACTGAGAACAGGCTTCTGCTACACCCTGCTTGCGTACCTGAAGTCAGACCCATGAGGGAGACCTTTCCCTCCTGTGCAGCACAGCGTAATGGTTCTCCCTCTGGAGCAGGCTGCAGCCTGGTGTTCTGTCCTTGTTAGTTTCATTTTAAAATAACACAGGCTGCAGCCCACCTGGAATTCTGGGCAGAGAATGGTAACTGCCCCCGAGCTGAGGTGAGGCTGCGCATGGAGCTCGGAAGAGCCATAGTGGGCAAACGAACTCTGCGGTCTCTGCCTTCTGGAGACCCTGCTCTCCTCCCTGCGAGCTGCTCCAAGTGGGCCCGAGCTTCACACCATGAGGGGCTGGCTCAGTTCAGAGGCTGAGAACACATTTCAGAGCGCTTAGGAGTCTGTGTACATGGCCTCGCTGCTTGGCTTGGGAAGGCTGTGCTCCTCAGTGGTGAGAGGCACTTGTGTCACATGAATGACCCCACTCACAGTGCCTGGCACAGAGCAGGTGCACAGGGGTAGTGACCTGAGGCTCCTGGAAAACAACGCACCTTCTATAGCCCCTCAGGACCCCCTAGTCAGGCCATGCAGTCCCCAAGGGGGTGCTGTGTACATGAGTGTGCATGGGGAAGGGGTCTTCTGGGAGACAAGGGAGGAGGGGAGAGGGTTCCGTGGAGTCATAAAATGAAGAATGGTTTTCTCCCATTAGCACTAGTAAGTTCTCAAAGCAGAAGAGAGGAAGAACATATATTGGCTCCAACGCAGCCTTGCAGTCTCCTGGATCCCAGAATGCCTAGGAAAAGGGAAGTACAGCTCCCTGGCCAGCAGGACCGTTCTCAGGCTCAGGGCCCCAGGGGCTTCTTGGGGACAGCACCCTGAACTGGGGCGGGACAAGCGCAAGGCAGGGGAGAACAACCCCTGGGCCAGCCGGGCTGAGTCTATTTCTCTGCGTGTGATCCTGGGCATGTTAGACCCATGGGGCTGCAGTTTCTGCACTGCTCAAGTGGAGACAAGCCCACCACACTACAGTGGAAACTGGAGGAGTAAATACCCCTAGGCCCTACCCAGTGCTGGCACACAGTGAGCTGCGCTGTGTCAGCACCAATGTCCTTGTCACTGTGACCAGTTGCCAGTGGCCTTACCAAATCTCCATTATGCCAGTGTTGTCCTGTAGTGCCTTTGCCAGCTGGGCAGTCCCCTTGGCTGTGATCTGGTTCTGGATAAGCCTGAAAGAAGAGCAAAGCTGTGTCCAGTGCAGAACACTGGGGGGAGTGCAGAGTCTTCTCCCTTTGAGGGAGTGGTACAGTCAGATGGGATCAGAGAGGGGTGGGGCACTGGGTCTTCATGGCTTCAGCAAGCTAGGTGCACGCTGGTCAGTACAGCCAAGTTTAAGACGTGTGAATCTCTTAGCATGAGCCTAATGTATCTGTAGACTCTTCTCTGGACAGTGTAACATATGAACAATGTGTGTGTGACCTCACTGCCCAGACAAAAAAGTATGGAGACCACGGACCTGAACAACAAATGCCAAGAAACTCGGCCAAGGGGACAGGCCACATGACACCGCCTAGGTAAGAGGCAAAGGCAAGGGAGTTTTTTAACTTAAGTAACTACCAACTAGTCCCTTCTTGGGGATGAGCTCCTAAAATATTAGCATGTCCTTCTCAACATCCACAGGAAGAGTGGGAGGGGGGAGACAGATAGACAGATAGACAGATATATAGACAGATAGACAGATAATAGAAAGATAGATAGATGACAGACAAGTGATAATAGATGATGATAGTAGATGATAAATGGTACACAGATAGATCATTGATAGATGATAGATACATAGATGGTAGATAGATAGATAGATAGATAGATAGATAGATAGATAGACAGATAGACACCCATGACTCCAGTGGGAAGCTTCAATCACAGGGCCTCTTGAAATGTGCCCCATGCTGCTGAGTAGTCCTGTCCAGATGAAGCCAAGTTCCTGGCACAGCTGGCAAGGCTGGAGGCTTCCTGAAATGCTGGCTGGCAGCCAGGCCTCTAACCCAGCCAGGAAATAAATGCAGAAAGAGACAAAGAGGTGTCTATGCTTTGTCCCAGACTTACTTCTCACTCCTGGGTGTGTGCACAACAGGCTGCTGCTGCTGGGCCTGGCCCCTGGGAGTCTGGGCACTGAGCAGAGAGGGAGCCCTGCCAGGAAGACGCAGGCTGTGCTCTCCTATGGATGAGGCTACGGAGAGTCAGCACAAAGCGCCCCCACCCCACCCCGCAGCCAGGATTGGAGGACTCGGAAGCTACACTCGTGGCCTTGTCCCCTCACTTCTCAGCTACAGAACCCTGAAGAGATGAGCTCATCTGTGCCTCCACTGTCTCATCTGCAACATGAGAACAATTACAAGAGTGCCATCCCGATGCTGGGGTGGTCATGAGGTGCAGTCTCGGTGCAGAGTGCGTCTCAACATGACTGCCAGGCACCAGGACCACTGTGCTCCCAGCCACAGTCCTTGGCTAGGTGGCAGAGGTTATGACCTCCTGAGGAGCATTTCTACAAGTGTGACCTAAGCAGGATGAACCAAAGTGGAACCTGGAGCTGTATAGCGATTCTGCATCCAAATGACTGCTCTAGGGGTCGGGGAGATAGCTCAGTAGAATAAGTGCCTGCCTGGCAAGTGCAAGGACCTGAGATCAATCCCAGGTACCACAAAAAAAAAAAGAAAATCCAGATGACTGCTCTTTCCCAGTCACCACCTCCATGGTGGCTGCCACTCTTGGTCTTCTGGAGGGTGAGACAGGCTGCCTTCAACCAAGACATGGCGAGAGGCTGGGACAGACAGCACTAACACCCCTGGCATGGCAGGCACAGCTGTCCACGGGGGCTGCCTTCGCTAAAGCCAGCCAGCTGACCACCGAGGGAGCAGCCGTGGTGCCCAGCCTGCTTGGGCTCCCTGCTGGCAGGAAGACGAGGTTGGCAGCGAGGCAAAGGGGAAGCTGCAGCCACAAAGAAGGAAACACAGTTTGGCTGACATCAACATGGTGATTCGAAGCTCATTTGGAAATGCAAGGGCCGGAGGATGGCTGAACCATCTGTGGGGTGGATAGAACCGGAGGACTTTCACTTTCTGATTTCAAAGCTATAGTGAGTAAGGCAGCAGAGCCCTGATGCAAGGACAGAAGTGTAGACCCACAGCCTGGAATAGAGTCCGGACAGCGCTTCTGGTCCATCGGCTTCTGACAAGTGTGTCGAGGCACACGACAGGGAAAGAGGATCTTCAGCAGACATGCAGCGGGCTGAGCTGCACTCCGCTCCACAGAGGACACAAACGTTACTCAGGACGGGCCGTAGACCTACTGTGAGCACACAACCACGAAACTTAGCCGAAAACTCGGCTGTAAGTCACGCCCCTGGATCAGGCAGTGGTTTTCTCAGCTAAAACTCCTAAAGCACGTGCAAGGAAAAAGGGAGCAACCTGGACTTCTTCAAAGCCCCAAAATTCATATGATTTGAAGGCCACTTGCCAGGAAGAGAAAAACCTCACATAAAAAGAGAAAATACTTGTAAATCCTGTAGCGAATAAAAACTGAACACCCGGGATGATGACCCCCTACAGCTCAACAATGAAAGGACAGAGGACTCAGTTTTAAATGGGCAAAAGAGGTAGAGAAATCTCTTCACAGAAGATGTGGAGCAGCCAACAGGTGCCTGACAAGATGCTCCACACAGCTAGCTGGGAGACACGCAGCGAAACCACAACAAGGTACCGCTTCACACCTGCTGGTGTGGTTATGCTGAAAAAGATAAAACCGCAACAAAGGCTGACGAGGTTGCTGTAAGAAGGTAAGCTAGTGCAGCCGTTCTGGAAAACAGCTTGAGTGGCTCATCCACATTTACCATAAAATCACCACATGATCCAACGATTCTGGTTTTAAAAAATATTTTATGTATTTATTGGGTCCAGGGTCTCACTTTGCAGATCAACTCATAGTGATCCTTCGGTCTCAGCCTCCCCAATGCTGGGATTACAGGCCTGCACCACCACACCTGGTTTCGATGGCCGGCTCAGCACACTTGGGGCAGGGCCGGCCCTGCATAGGGTACTGGGGATTGAACCCAGGTCCTTCAGCTTGCCAGGAAGGTGCTTAGACCACCAAGCTATCTCATAGTCCAACAACTCTGTTTTTAAGGGTATACTCAAGTGAAATGAAAACATAAAGACACAAAATCATGGGCACGAATGCTCATAGCAGCATTATTCATGACAGTCGAAAAGTAGAAACAATCCCAAGAAACCAATCAAGTGATGAGTAAGCAAAATGTCGCATCCCTGTGCAAGCGATTGAGTATCATTTAGCCATAAGCAGACACAAGCTATGATGCAGATGAACCCCAGATGTCCATGCTAATAGAAGAGCACTGGGACTGACGGTCACATGCTGTCATGTGACCGTCTATCTCTAGGAACTGCCAGAACAGGCAAATCCACAGGGAGAAGTAGATTGGTTGTTGTCAGATCAGTGGTTGTCAGGACTGGGGTAAGGAGAGGATGGGGAATGCCTGCCTCAGGCATACACAACTTTTACTTTTTGTTGGAGGGAAGAGGTAGTAAAAACAGGCCAGAGTCAGATGATGGTCGTGGTTGTGCAGTCTTGGGAATATACTGAAGACCTCTGAGCTGTGTGTACACTTTAAAAGAGGGAGAACTGTGGCAGACGGCTTTCTCTCAAAAAATATTTGGGAAAGCGGTCTGGACTGGTGCGGCCCTCTGAGTTACCATAAATGCTTCAGCGTCTGGTTGACCCTTAGTGTTTCTGCGAAGCTCTCTGCCACCTCATCGTTGAGTTCGTTTTGAGTCAGCCTGGAAGAGAGGAAGTGTCGCCTTAGCATGCCGAGCAGGGGTGCGTGGGCGGGCTGAGAGGCAGGGTCCCCGCCCGGGTCTGTGAAGCTCTTGGTTCTTCATGTGTGGAGAACCGGCAAAGGCCCGGGCCACCCAGGGTCCACAGCCACACCTGGGGCCTCAGTTTTAGAATAGACCTTTCCCGAACACCTCTGTCCCAACCCTCCTGCTTGTGGCTCAGCTCCTACTTCCTGACCTTCCAAGCCTTCGGATTTCACAGCAGCCGGGGCCCAGAAAGCAAAGCCTCATGCCTGTGCCTCAGACCTCCTCCACCCCAAGGCCCCTTGAACACCAGTGAGGACGGCTAGCTGAGTCAGCACAGAGGCCTGGAAGCCCCACCCCCACCCAGAGAACAGGTGCAGCTCCGTGCTCTGAGGCCAGCTGTGAAGCACCCCATTCAGTGACTGAGCGCTCAGGAAGCTTCTCAGTTGCACTGAGCTCCAACAGTGGTCCGGACAAAGCACCCAAGCTCCCGGGTATAGCCAGGGTTGAATGTCATATGCCAGTGGGTGAAAGAATAATAGTAACACTGGAAATAGCAAGAATATCATTTAAAAAAATCATTCCTGGAAGGGCCATTTGGTTGTATTTACTCCAACTGTCAATCTGTTTCGCTTTAGGAGAAATTTCTCCTACACGATGCAAGAACAATTACACCTTGCAGCATACAGCGTGGCATTACTGGTCATAAGGAAAATTTGAACAACTAGAAACACTTAGCAGTAGAAACCGATAAAATAGTGAGCCTCGTTCAAAGGGACACTGGTGGCCTCAGGAGGAGGTGGAAGAACAGATGAGTAGAAGCGTATGGTGTCTCCCAGGGCTCTGGAGTCAGACGCTCAGGCTTGTAGCACTAGCAGGTGACCTCAGGCAAGCGGTTGAACCTCTCTGGGTCAGAGTCTTCCCCTGGGAAAATGTAAGTAGTACTGGGAGAGCTGTACCACGTGGCTGTGTGACTTAGTCTGCAGAAAAGGTGCATGTTCCATGGCATGCAGCCACATTCCAACCCTCGGCACTGACGACACCACCCGCGCAGAGCAGTGGGTCTCCACTGCAGTGGGTCTCGCTCTCCACGGCTATGTCTGCAGACGTCTGTGTTCGTCACAAGACTGGCAGGGTGGGCTCCTGGTGTCTCACAGCTAGAGGCCAGTGAGGATGCCTAACACTCTTTAGGGTAGGAAGACCCAACAAGGAAGTCCTCAAGCCAAAATGTACACAATTCTGAAGTCAAGAAACCTGACATCAAGGGACATGTAAAATATGTACAATATTTAGTTTTTCCTAAAGCTACGTGCTAGGCGCTATTTTATATACACTTGAATACATAAAAAAGGCTAAAAGGAGAATGCAAGAAATGTGGTTTCACTTTCTATTTTTCAGATTTCTAGGTTAGTGTCTCCAGTCATACATTTTTCAAAAACAGAGCATATGTTACTTTTCAAAATCATGAAGACTTTTTGAGGCAAACAATTAAAAGTACATTTACTGGCCAACTAATCTAGTACCAGAGCTCTCCCAAGATGGCATTTTCATCATTTTAAGTAATTATGCTAGCAAAATCTCATGAGCACTGGGCTGTAGGTGAATGATACAGTGGAATTTATGACACAGGCAAATAAATAAAATAAAAATAATGAAAATTGGGCCAGAGATATGGCTGCATGCCTGTCAAGTGTGAGGTCCTGAGTTCAATTCAAAGGAGAGAGAGATGGGAGGAGGAGAGATGAGAGAGAGAGAGAGAGAGAGAGAGAGAGAGAGAGAGAGTGCAAACAACACAGAACAACAAAAACAGCATCAGAAGACAGCGTCCACTTATTAAGCACCCTGGGGTGCAGAGAGGGATAAGGACTATGGCTTTCTGTGGCAGGCTGGGGCACTGAGTACCAAACGCTGATGTGATATAGATGCCAAGAAGGCAGCTCATGAAGAGGAAGGGAGAGCGCACCGAAGCCAGGTTCCAGGAAGCTGGACTATCTCAGGCAACTGGGCAGTGGCCTGAGGGGGGACACCTCAGCAGAGTGACCAGTGGGCCCCGACTGCAGGGTGCCATAGGAGGACAAGAACTCAAGCCCATGTTTAGGGGGCCCACACTCCCTTCTATATCTATTTGTGCTTATGAAAATGGCTGTTTTCTTCTCTAGGAGGAAACTATATCCTCCTTTTCAATGGAGAGGCACCTTTACAATCAGGATTCCACGCTGTGCAGAGCCCTGCATAATTACCAAGACCCTTGGGGATGATGTAGGCTTTACCAGAATGTCATCAGAGATGTGTTGTGCCACAGGGCCTGGGCAAGGCTCTTCCCTCCTTCCGTAGAGATGCCGTTGAATGCGAGACTAGAAAGGAAAACACTTGGGTTATTGCAGACACACCCATGTTGGCCCTCAGCTTCAACCCCAAACACTAGGAAGCTCCATCTGGGAGTGGCACACACCAAGCCACCTTGAGACAGGAAGTGGAAGCTGTCAGCCTCATCAGCACTGCCCAGGTGAGGGGATGGGCGTAACACTCCTCAAGCAGAGGCCAGATGGAAAGTGAACACAAGACATTGTGCTAAAGAGACCCGAGAGCCCTGCCTTGTCTGACAGCCTCAAAAGGCTCCTTCAACAAGATCTGGAGAAGTTCTTCAGGCCATTGTCTTCACTGTGACTCATTTGGGGAAGGAAGGGCAGGGGCAGCAGCAGAGCCTGAGGCACCAAAGCTCCTAGGATAGGCCTGAGGCCTAAGAAGAGCTGTGAGGGGGCACCTCTGTTTATAGGGAGGAAGGTCCCCTCAACCCCAGCACCAGTCTGAAGAAAGGAATGGCAGGAATCTTCTAGCTAAGGGGCCTTTCTGTTTTGTGTAGACTGAGGAATTCTTCCAACCTTCAAGGACCTGAGGGGATCACTGAGGGGCTGTAAATGCCCTGCATGTTGATCTGGGTAGTGTTCACGTGGGTGGACAAGGACAAAACTCATGCTGCTGACCACTGAAGAAGACTGTTTTATACTTCTAACGCACCAAGAAACATCTTTTAGAAAAAGACTCCCACAAGGACTCTCTTCCCTGTGAGATAAATCAGTCCCCTCTTCCTCATCGGTGCACCTTGGTAACCCAGAATGGCTGGGTGATGGGTTGCCTTTGGGGTCTACAGCCTCAGAGGTGGCCATTACCTCAGGAATTTCAGACTGGGGTGATTCTTCAACGCTTCTGCGAAGGCTTTTGCTCCTTCATCTCCGATCTGATTGCCCCACATCCTGAAGGCAGTCAAGACACTGAACGTTAGTGCCCCGCTCCACAAACAGCCCCACTCACCCCTTACTTTATGCCAGTGGCCAAGGCTTGATTTATATCAACAGGCAGGTGCTTTGCTCAGTCTTGGGAGACCACTTCCTCCTCCTGGCCCTAAGTGAACTGCTCTAAATCTTGAGCTTTAAGGGAAACACAAAAGAACAAACAGAAGTGGTGGGCTTAGGAACAGAAGTCGATCAGAAGTTGCACAATTGGACTGAAGCCTCACCTAAGCTTCTGGAGGGCTGTCAGCCCAAGAACATCAGCTGTGGTTGTCCTGGAAGGGCATGGCCCACTTGTCACCTGCAGGATACAAGGTCTGAACTGGCTGCAGGGAAGGAGTGTTGGGGGGCTGGGCTCCGGGCTCTGTTTGCCTCTGGGCCAGTGGTGCTGGTCCTACAGACACAGAGCTCTTCCAGGAAGCAGAGATCAGGAAGTGTGGGCAGAAACCACAGCAGTAACACGCTGTGCACGCTGGAGACACGGCCAAGCCACATGCTGCGGAGGCCGCAGCACTGGCAGAGGGCTGGCTGATGAAGCTGACTTCTCCCACCCACAGCAGATGACTGGGGAGGGGCAGGCTAGCAGCTCCTGCCCTGGCCCTGCCCCCTCCAGCTGTGTGACTTTAGGTAAATGAGATGACAACTTAGAGACCTCGGGCTCCTCAGCTGGGAGATGAAGGGAGTAGGAACACCCCCTCATAAAGCTGTTTGCGCATGCTGACAGCCTAGAGCAGGGCCTGGCTGGCAAAAAGTGCCAACTGCTGACTGGACAAGGGCATAGTGCATCCAGGGACAAAGCCATCGGCCTGGCCCCCTCACAGCAGAACTGGGGCTTCCTGAGCAGCACACACCCAGCCAGTGGGCCACCTGCCTGCACCCTTCTGGGTGCGGCCTGTAGAGCCAGGGTCAGGGATCAGCATTTGGCTAACAACGCATGGGAACTGTCCTAATGAATAGCATGGAATTCTAAATAAAGTGGCAAACTACTCAGGACATGAGAGTAAGTGAAAAATGAAGGGGAAAATTTTGTACCTGTACTGTGACCTCTACTATATAAGAAAATGGGGTGAGGAGAAGGGACTGGGAGAGTTTAAAAATGACCTCAAACATCAGCAGTTAATATTCCAGGAAGATAACTCACATTTGTCATAGTTTCTAAATAAAACTATCTGTGTTCTTTTTATACTCTGATAAAAAGTCACAGTGAATACACAAAGCAATCAGAAGCTTTTTCACCCTCTCACCCGTTAGGCCAGCTCGTAATAACAAAACACAAAGCTCTAAGCGCTGGCGAGGGTGTGGAGGACTTGCAGCCCACGTGCGCTGCTGGAGAGAGAATACAGCAGTGCAGCTACTGGGGAACGCACTGTGGAATTTCCACCGGAAATTAAAAGTAGAATTTCCACATGATTCAGCAATTCCACCTCTGAGTTTAGAGCTAAGAGGTATGAAAGTGGGATCTTGAGGAGATATTGCAGCCTGTGTTCACAGGACCAATATCCACAGCGGCTGAAACATGGAAGCAACCCAGGGGTCCGCTGAGGGCTGAGGGGCTAAGCTAGGTATCTTCTGTGCAGCTGTGTGCTCAGGTCTGTAGTCATAGCTACTCAGGAGGCTGATATAGGAGGGTCCCAAGTTCAAGGCCACCCTGGACAACTCATTGTCCAGCCTATCTCTGAGAAAGAAAGAAGAAAGGAAGGAAGGAAAGAAGGAGGGAAGGAAGGAAGGAAGGAAGGAAGGAAGGAAGGAAGAAAGAAAGAAAGAAAGAAAGAAAGAAAGAAAGAAAGAAAGAAAGAGCAAACCAACAAATTCCAGGCTTAAAAATCAATTCAAAATCTCATGGTCCAGGGTATGAGATGGTGTGAAACATCCTGCAACTATAGTACTTGTCTGAAGTCCCTGAAGTTTGCATTTCAGATGCAAGAGAAGACAGGTACTATGGCTGTCATGAAATGAAGGCAGAGAAGCTTCGTTCTTTATAAGATCAGGCACTACAGTTGGTTGCAGGATTAGTTCATGGACTAGAGGCTAAAATCTGAGACCTATGTTTCTTTTAGTTTGTGTAGTGAGGAGGAGGATGATTAATTTGGGTCAGCATAACATACCTACAATACTAAAGAAATAAAATTGTAAAGAAAATGTGAAAAAAAAAAGAAAAGAAAAAAAAATACAGTTGGGGATATTGCTCAGTAGTAGGATACCCTGGGGTCCAATCCCTGGTATGGAAAAAAAATCTAGTATGTACATACAATAAAGCATTATTTGGCCTTAAAATGGAGGAACTCTGAAAACTTATAAGAGGAAGGAACCTTGAGGATATTAGACTGAACTAAATAAGCCACCACAGAAAGACAAAGACGGCATGGCTTCTCTTACAGGAGGTCCCCAGAAGGGTCAGATTCACACAGACGGACGATAGATAGTGGTTACCAGGGGCTGAGGAGCAAGGGAGCTGAGGTTGGGATGAAATAGTACAGTTTCTGTTTTTGCAAGACAAAGAGGTTTGCCCATGGATGGCCATGGTGGTTGTATAATGCTACAAATGTAGTTACTAACACTGAGCTATACAAGTAAAAATGAAGAGGATGATAAATCTTATGTGTATTTTACCTCAATTTTATAAAATAGAAGCCAGGTACAGTGGCACATGCCTGTAATCGTAGCTCACAGGGGGCTGAGATGGGAGAAGGTGTCACAAATACAAGCCCAGTCTGCAGAACTAAGTAACTTAGCAAGGACTTGTCTTAAAAAAAAAAAAAAATTAAAAGGCTACAGATGTAACTTAGTAGTACTAAAGGATGCCCAGTACCAGAGGTGGAGGGGGAGAAAAATCTCTAGTGACACAGCCTGTGGCAGCCACCACACAGCTAGAATGGCTCCACCCCTTTGCTGGTGGCGATAACACTAATTCTGCATGACCTAATTAGAAGCCTAAGCAGCCAGAGCTGTCGCCACTCCTGGGACTTCCTGCACCACTGCCTGCAGCTCCACTGCTGCTTGCCCCTCTGGGCCAGAACAAGAGGCCCCTCTGATGTACACAAGCCAGCTGGCACCCACACACACAAGCAGGCTGCACACTCTGGCATGCCGCTCCCCGCCACTCACCCAATGTCACAGATCCAAGTGCTGCTCTTCACGGCCAGGGCAAGACGCTTGCCACCTTCACTCGTTATTTTGTTTTTTCCCAGTCTGCAGAGAGTAACGCATGGTCAGCTTGCAGCTGTAAGGGACTCCACCACGGCCCACCTCCTCCCTGGGCCACCCCTTCCCCGACACAGAGCCCCCTCCTTCCCCTCCTTGCCACCATGACTTTCTTTCTGGGACACACAAGAGCTAGGCTCTGGACCTTTCTCTGGAGAGACCTACACCCTGAGGACAGTCAAGCAGGGCTGCTCGGCAGGAGATGGCCACAGTCTCTGCAGAGAGTTAGTGACCTGAGCCAACCATCCTGTGTCCTTTAAGTGACCTGAGAACATCAGCAGACAGGGGAGGGCCAACTTGGGTTGCCAGCGGCCAAGGTGTGTGTTCACACTGCAAGGCATGACCAGGAGCTCAGTCCCTCTCGGCACAGTGTACAGATGACAGGGCCAAGGGCCAAACTCTTGCTTGCAATCATGTGGACTCTCCCTTGGGAAAGATGTTCTTCTCCAGTATTCCCCAAAGAGTGATGTTAATTCCCTTTCTTCCTAGTCAGCAGTTACAGAAATATCTCACACACACACACACACACACACACACACACACACACACACACACACCAGCAGGGACCCCTCCAAAATCCACACCTCATCCTCATCCTGCTGAATTTCTCTACACAGCAAGATTACCTTCCACACACAGGGCTCCTGTATTTGACCGGCCTGGCCTAGGGCAGCAGAAGGGATAGGAGGAAAGCTTTGCGTGGTGACCTGGATTCCTTTAATAATGGAAGAGAGGACCTGGAGAAAGGAGAAAGGAGCACCCACCCCACTTACTTAAGGTGTGTGAGGCCTTTGCATTCCTCTAGGATCTGGGCGACATACTTGGCTCCGACATCGGTGATCTGGTTGCTGTACAAACTGGTGAGAAAGCACAACCAGGAGACTAACGTCATGGGATCCCCCCCTCCAGTTTCTGGAAGTGCTGTCTCTGGGTTTCCAAAGTCTAGGCTGAAAGCAGAACACAGGGGGACCAGAGCTTGGGGTTCTGCCATTTGGCCTGGCTTCAAACCAGCCCCCACTTTCTCCCTTGCCTCAGTCTGTCTGCAGGAAGGGGTGACACTCACAGCCCCTAACTAGGATACCTACAGCAGCAGGTGACAGTGCACAGCCCTCACGTAAGTACCACGCGAGGGGGACTTATCAACATGGATGGTTCTCGGACTCTTGAGGGAAGAAGTTTCCCTCTGAATGTCAAACCCTCTCTGCACCTTCCTTCAGTCATGATACTGCTCTGATCCAGTCGGTAGGAAGGCAGAGCACATGTGAAGGACACGACTCAACTGTGGCCGCCAGGGCTTCCTGTCACACAGCACTAGTTCCGCACCCACACTTCACATGGAGACACAAAGACACTGAGCCACCGCTTCAGCTCCCAGGGCCAACAGGGCTCTTGGAGCCCACGATCCCTTACCCCAGACTCCAAACCAGGAAGCTCTGAAAACCCAAAATTCTTCACAAGTCTCTTAGCACCTTAAGTGGACCTCTCGTGGTTTTGACCTACCCTACTTACTTTGAGTGTTCACACATTGCCTGAGTCTGGGGCATATCCTGGGCTGTCCCTGGCTATGCCACTGCTACACAGCACATACACCAAATCCCAACTTGTGGCTTAGCCCAAGAGTTTTAGGAGAGAGAATCTGGGCCACAGTAGGAAGGTCCACTATAAACAGTATTTTAATGTTATAGAACCCATCCCCATATATTTTCTTAATTCATCCCCCAGTAACTATTTGCAAAGATATTTCCCTAGGTGAAGGTCCCAACTTTACAAGTGACGGGGCCAAGCCAAGAACAGAACCCGACTGCAGGTTCTCTTCCTGCACAGCCCGTAGAGCCACACAGATGGGATCTATAGTCTGTGCTGCTCTATATTCTCACTGTCATTGGCCCAGGGTTCCCAAGCAGGACGTACCCCAAATATGTCAAAATTTTGTACTTGGTCAGTTCTTCACACAGCACCTTTACCCCACTGTCAGTGATCTGGTTGACGCTGAGTCTGCAACAGAACAGCCAAGGAAACGACAAGTCAGGGCAGCGTGCTTTCCAAGGGATGCTCTCAGCTTGAGGTTTGAGGCCCAGAACCTGGAGGTTCCCAGTTATGACTGCTCCTGTGGGGGTGGCTGCAGGTATCCACCAAAAGGCTCCTACTGGCCCTGGCCTTCCAGGGGCCACAGCCATCTTGCTCAGCAAAGCTGTAGCACAGCCCTGTACAGCACCAGGCCACGGCCACGAGGGCCAGGTGCCTGTGAGAGCCTGCATTTGCAGGCAGCCTGCATGTCTGTGGCCCTTAGCACGTAGCAGGGTGTGTAGCAAATGTGAGGAGCTGTCATTAGTGGTCATCATAACTGGAGAAAGAATAGTCTGTCATTTCACAAGGAGCCAGTGAGGTTAGGGATCCTCAAAACCACAGAACAGTCCCCCTAAGGACTGGCCCCCCTCACACACAAAGCATCCTTCCCGGCATGAGGGCAGAAGTTGGCAAGGCCACTGCCCACACTTCCTCAGCAAAGCCAATGCCACCTTGTGCAGGTGAGAGCAAGGGGCAGTATGGGGCACTGAGACTGAGCCGGCCGGTCAGTCATGTACTGGGGCTTCTCTACACTAGCAGGACAGCCATGGCCAAGAGGCCAAGATGCAAGGTACTTTTTTGTTTCGTTTTGTGGTGCTGGGCAGAGAATTCAGGGCTTGGCCTGCATGCTAGGCAAGTGCTCCACCACCAAGAGACATCCCCAGCCTGCCCCCCTTCCCTCCCTTTCCTTCTTTCCTTTCTTTTTTAATTTTATTTATTTATTTATTTGTGTGTGTGTGTGTGTGTGTGTGTGTGTGTGTGGCCAGCTCAGCCCACCAGGGGGCAGGACATGTGGTGCTGGGGATCGAACCGTGGTCTCTGTGCTTTGCTAAGCTTGTTCTAAGTAGGTGCTTTAGACCACTGAGCCATCTCACCAGCCCCTCCTTCCTTTTCCCTTTCCTTTCTTTCCTTTCTCTTCCCTTCCTTTCCCTTCCCTTCCCTTCCTTCCTTCTTTCCTCTTTCTTTCTGAGACAAGGGCTCACAAAGTTGCCCCAGCTGGCCTCAAACTCATGATCCTCCTGTCTAAGCTGGGTCTGCAGATACATGCTGCCATGCCCAGCATCCATTCATAACCCTCTTCATGCAACCTGTAAAAACTGACCTGCTCCTCTTAGTCCCCCACCCCATCATGAGGTGAGGCTATAGGACAAAGCCCAAGGGTGAGAGAGGGAGATGATGGCTCAGGGGAAGTGAGCTTTTCTGCAGAGCCAGCTAAGACATAGCTTAGACTCTGCAGCCTGCTAGTCTCTGACACAACTATTCAGCTCTATAGTGTGAAGTAGCCAATGATGAACACATGGCTGTATTCTCATAGAACTTTGTCTTCAAATACAAGCTGTGAGCTAACTTCTATGACTAGTAAAAGGCTAAACAGGCAAAAGTCTAACTTTCTTTAGACTGTATCAGAATTATCAGACATTCCAGACCTCTTCCCATAGTACCTGGCTTGGTGCTAGGGTTTATTGTATACATACATTGCCTGACTATTCTAGTATGACAGAGTATATTGTCACTTTCAATATGTATGCTTTCTTAGCAGTAACCCCTACACATTTTTTTAGCTTGGCACAGTTAGTATCTGGTCAATGAAATCTAAGAAGCAGTGTTATTAGTAATAGCTGAGAAGTTTTAAAAGAATAGGGTGTGCCTTTTCCTTTTGCCCTTTCTTCTTTCTGGTGACATGGTGGCTAGATGTCTGGAGCTTGGGCAGCCCAGCTTGGGTCAAGAGGCAGAATCCAGTACTGAGGATGGCAGAATGGCAAGGCAGAAGAGAACCTGGACTTCTGATTGTCAGAGCATCAAAGCAAACCCTGAACACCCTTATCTCTAGACTGCACATAAAACAGAAATAAGCTGTAACTCAAGCCACTAAGATTTTGTACTTTCTCTAACCCCCAGCTATAGTTCATCCTAACTGATGCCCTCAGGAATCTCAGAGCACTCCCCTATGTGTCCACAGATCCTCCTGCTTTCCTGTGAGCTACTTCCCCCAGGGACAGCGGGGCAGGACCAGCACATTGCTGCAGTTTCCCCTTTTGTATGGCCAGTAGCACTGGGAGAGAGGTGATCAAAGACTGCAGAAGGGGCAGCAGCTGGCTGACAGACCCATGCCTTAAATTTGCAGGCCAGACAGCTTTGGGCCCTGACATCCATGTGCCCATCCCCTCCCCCTCGGTACAGGATGCCAGGCTCTGAGGGTTCCAAATGCCCACTGCTCTTCAGAGATGCATGTGCCAAGCTGTGGAAAAGTGTAGGTTTGGAGACAGTGACAAGGTTTGTTTCATACAGGAAGTGTGAGAGAAGAGGGCAGATTGGCCTCCCTTTCCTGCAAGCCATCAATCAGGGAAATAAACAAGAAACAGAACTTTGACTGATGCCTTTGGAGTGCAGGGATATTGGTTGGATTACAGAAAGTAACTACTGAATGCCAATAACTTAAGGATTTCTCTCTTGGCGGGGGGAAAAAAGCTCCCAAGAGCTCAAAACTTTTCATGGGCTACCTCTGAGCCTCAAGTTATCAGCTTCTCTGGGCCCCTTTCTTTCCTCGTTTGTTAAAACGGACACAGCAAAACCAACACACAGGGTTAGGAGCATTAAACTGGGTAGCATTTGTAATAGCTTCACCCACTCTCAAGCACTGACTTGCGCCTGCTAGGATCAGGAGCATCTGCTTTTTCCAACAGGAGGCTGGGGCATGGAGATGTTCAGCAGTTTGTTCACGGGTACCTACTGGGGCTGAGCCAGGCCCACTGGACTCGCTTTGCCACCCCAAGGCAGAGAAAGTCCGGACTTCCCTGGACCAGTGGTCCTTGCGTCCTAAGGTAAGGTCAAGCCAGGGCAGCCTACCATGCGTGGGCCTCACCTGAGGACGGTGAGACGGCTGAGGCAGGGCTGCAGCTCGCGCACGCCATAGTCGTTGAGATTGTTGTTGTCCAGGTCGAGGGCCAGGCGCTTGTGGAGGTGGTGCAGGACGAAGGAGAGCGCGCTGCAGTCCGCGGAGCAGGCGTTGCAGAAAGTCAGCTTGAGGTAGTCAGCGCACATGCCGCGGGCAGCCAGGCGCGCCACCTTCTGGCTCTGTGTCTCGTAGATGCAGCGCAGCATCCACAGGAAGGTGGGCATGGCCTGCACCTGGTTGAAGCCCCCGCTCTGCAGCCGCGGCAGGCTCCTCAGGTAGCCGCGCACGCTGGCGCGCAGGTGCATCCACAGCGCTCGGCGCTTCCTCCGCAGGGTGGCGGCGGGCACCAGGCGCCACAGCAACTCCTGCCGGGCCTTGGACAGCAGCCCGCACAGGAAGAGGTTGGTGAACTGAAAGTGGTCCTTGTTCTTGAACAGGTCGGAGCCTGCGGGGCGGCCGCTTCGCCAGCGCTGGAAAGGGAGCAGGGAAGGCAGGCAGGACGCTGGCGCGGCCTCCCCGGGTGGCGCCCACTCGCGGAAGAAGTGGAGCAGCTCGCGCGTGCCCACCGTGTCGTCCAGCACGAGGAAGAGGGCAGTGAAGAAGGCCTGCAGGGTGACATGGAAAAACTCGTAGGACTGCTGTCCGCCGTAGGGGCCCGGCGTGGGCACGCTCCGCAGGAAGCCGAGCGCCAGGTCTGCCTCCTGCAACCCGGAGGCCACCACGTCGTCGTGGCAGAACACGAAGAGGCTGCGCTCCATGCCGCCGCGGGCCACCCGGCCCAGGGAACGCAGCGTGCGCAGGCCCGCGCAGAACGTCTCGGCTGTGCTGCGCGTGTTGCGCTGCACGAGACTGCTGGGCTGCACCCTGTTCAGGTGGACCTCCGTGACCAGTAGGAAGACGTCCGTCAGTGTCACGGCGCAGTCGGGCTGCTGCGGGGAGCCCTCGAAGGCGACATGGAAGTGCTGGAAGCAGCGGAAGATGATCCAGCAGAAGAGCGGCACAGCGCACAAGCTGCAGAGGTTGGGGTTGGCCTCCAGCTGCTGCAGAAGCTGGGCCTGCACCGCGCGCTCGGGAAACATCCTGCGGGCGTAGGCGCGCAGGTGGCCGGCTGAGAAGCCCCGCAACAGCACCTTCTTGCGTAGGAGCTGGCGCGGCAACTCGACACCGGTGCGCGCAGTGAGCAGCTTTCGCGCGCCCTGGAGCAGCCTCCCGCCCAGCAGGTTGGCCAACAGCACCAGCGGGTGCGCAGGCTCCCAGGGGCTGCAGGTGTCCGGCACGCGGCTCAGGTCGAAGTCCGAGTGCAACTCGTCCAGGCCGTCGAAAGTGAAGAGCGCTGTTTGGGGAAAGCGCAGCAGGAAGGCGAACACCTCGTCGGGGTCCTGCTCTGGGTAGCAGAAGTGCTTGAAGAGCAGGTCCTGCAGACTCAGCGTGTCACTCTCCTTGAAGCAGCTGAAAATGCGGCAGCGGAAATGGAAGAAGAACTTGATGTCAGCGCCCAGCCGGCCCGAGGCCCAGAGGCTCTGCAGCCGCTGCAGCAGCATGGACTTGCCCACGCCCGCGTCGCCGAACACGAACACTGTCTCGCCGTGCTCGTTGAGGACGTCCGAGCCGGGGTCCAGCAGGCAGGCCAGGCTGCTCAAGCTGCCCAGGATCTCGTTGCTGAAGCTCACCAGCTCCATGATGGTGTCTGTGTACGTCTCTTCCAGCAGCAGCTCCTCCTTCTGAGCGTAGCACAGCATGAACTTGGAATCGCAGCCCAGCTGGTGTCGCAGCTTCTGGGTGTACCTGCTCACTGCGGCACAGTGACCCGGAGTGGAGGTGGAGACAGAGAGAGAAAGGTTGGGACGCGTTAAACAAGGAGGTCTGATGACCAAACGCAAGGGTCCTAGCAAACTAAACCCGCAGCGCTCTCCAGGGCCAACGGCAGTCACTCCACAAACACAGACCCTTTCTGTCCTCAGAAGGTCCCTCTGGAATCCTAGAGGCTCTGGCACCTCTCTGTGTGACTTCAGGTTAGGCCACTAGAGAGCAATGGACTTCAGCTGGGATCTGCGCCTGAGACCCGTCGGCCTTGTTCCCATTGAACTCTAGCCAAAGACTGAGCCCACCACACTGGAGGGCCAGGCTGGATGGCCCGGCGGCCCCTGCCCATCCCCATGGTCCAGGCCAGAGAGCACCACCCAGTACTGTGGAAAGTCGTATGAAGAAACAAAGGACTTTAACCTTTGTTTTGTCTATAACACTGACTGCTCTTGAAACAATGGGAACCATAGTCTAGACAGGTGGTAAAACTGTTGCAGGTGTTACTCTGGTTTCCTTATGAGCCACACCTCAACAAAAGCACCATGACACCTCAGCTTGTCCATGTGGGGTGCAAGCTATAGGGTGACCCCTAAGTGGCCACCGAGGGCAAAAATGCTTTACCATGCTCCCGAGGGTCGTGGGCCCCAGTACACCTGAGTGACAAAAATAAAATTTGCACCAGGAGGCAGGTGATTCTCCTCGCAAAAGACATTTGCAAGCATTTCTTTAAAATGCTTTTGAACTTTAAAATTATATCAGTTAGTGAATAACTGGACACCTGGACACCTTTTCCAAACTATCTAAAACCCTTCCTCATCAACTTAGTTGAATTTGGTGATCTTTAAAATTTGTAAAGTGCATTGTACTTTATTTGCAGCTTTACTGAAACATAAATTACATACTGCAGAGTTCACTCTGGTTGCAGAACAGGAGCGAGCCTTAGCAACTTCACCGAGTTGTGTGCCTATTGCAGTCCACTCCTAGGACATCTCCATCAGCCTCCCAAAGCCTTCAGATATCTATCCACCACCCATCCCAGCCTCAGCTTCAGACTTTGGGCAACTATTAGACTGCTTGCTTTCTTCAAAATTTGCTCTTTTTGGACATTTTGTGTAAGTGGATTTTACTACAGATAGGTTGTCTTTTGTATATAAATTACACTGAAAGGCTAGTGAACAGCCAGATAAAGGGACCAGGGGAGAAGTCCTTTGAAAGACCCACTCACCATGGAGAATATTTTCCTTTTCTTGGTGGGAGAAGGAAACAAAAATTTGGGGGGGAAAAATTAAATGCAGGTACCAGAGTTCAATCCCTGGCATGCCGTGCAGGCCCTGCCCCCTGGGGCGCACTGAGACTGTGACTGAGACTGGGCATGGTGGTGCGTGCCTGTAATACCCGCACTTAGGAGTGAGGCCCTATAGACCCTGTACTAAATACATTTTTTTAAAAAAGAACTGTGTCACCTTGGTTAGCTTGGGTTCCATCCAAGGGGTCAGTAAAGCACACTCTGGGTGTGCCTGAAGGGATCACAGGGGGAGGGCCCTGGGACCTATGTGTATGTGGTCCTCGGCCTTTCCTTTCTGATACTGTTCCCCTCCTCTGATGCAAAAGTAAGAGGTACAGAAGAGGTCAGAATAGTGTCTGTTCCCACATTACCTGGAGGCCTGCCTAAGCTAGGCAAGGGGGCTGGGGCTGGGGCTCAAGTCTCCAAGCTACTGCCTCACACAAAGCTTGGGGTTCCATCCCCGGCACTGCACAGTAGCAAGCAGATGAGCTACATGTGGCCAGGCAGGTGAGTCAGCCTGGCTGCACTTAGGCAACGGGAGCCAGGTCTTCTTTTCTAGAATCCAAATAGCACATAGGCCTGCTTCACGAGGTAGGACCAGGAGCTGGTCATGGTGGCCCACGGATCAAAGCAGTTCCAAACCCCAGAGCCTTGCTTGCACCAGTGCCCACAGTCCTGCTGGGGCTGGCTTGTACCTGGGTCAGTGTTGACAATAGTTTTGCACTGAATGAGCTGTGAAGAAGAAAAGCCGATTTCCAACAGCCATGGCCTGAGGTCCACGTAAGCATCTGCAAGCTGCTGCAGCACGTAGAGGAAGAATTCAGACACCTCCTCACCCTTGCTCTGAACCAGATCCAGGATTTTTCGGACCTGTTTGTGGCACAAACATAAGGACATGAGCTGTTAGAAGGGGTGGACGCAGCCCAGGGCTCCAAGCTCTTAGTGTAGCCAGCTTGACCATTTGCCCTGCCAGAGTGAGAATGCAGATGTTGGAGGCCTAGAATCTGCCAACGTGACCTTCTTAGTAAGAAACAAAACCACAGAGCTCTACAAAACCAGCAGGCTTCCATGAGCCCCCAGACAAAAAGGTCAGTGCACAATGAGACCTGTGTCCACCCACGGAATTCTCTTTTTCAGCCAGGACTGAGAATGGAGGGCAGCAAGGCATCCCTCAGGCAGAATGAGATGGGGCTTCCAGGACCCCGGCAAGACGGAACAGACCCCCACATACAGTCTATGTTAAGAACAGCCTTGTTATTAAAACTGCACCAAAAATTGAGAGGAGACCAAGCAGCTCTGGTCCCTGTGAGCCCTGGCAGCGTCACACTGCACACAAGTTTGTCACTCCACTCCCCAAGGACTCGCGGGATCCTTTTTTTTTTTTTTTCCAGCAGACCCGCCAAGCTGAGGTGAAACCTAGAGCTGCCAGACTTCCCAGGGGAGCACAGACAGCTCTTCAGTGGGGATGCTCTTGGGATGAAGTTATTGTGAACTCCAACGCAGCCCCATCCTCAGTCTTGAAGCAATGTGAGCAGCCCTCGGTGTGAATGGACGTGACTGCGAGTGTTCTGTGATCATTGCTTCTTTGGGAACAATGCAGCAACGAGAGCTGTGTGGGAATAATTTGCTTCAACTGCATGCGTGCACCCATGCATGCACCCCCAGGCAAGCACACACCCCTAGACACACCTGCACTCACTCCCAGGCACGCACTCACCCCCAGGCACACATGCACTCACCCCCAAGTACGCACTCATCCCCAGGCATGCACGCATGCACCCCCAGGCACTCACACATACGTACTTGTCAAGCCCTCAGTATGAAATCTTCCCCAAACCCTTCCTTCAGGCCAGCAGGGAGAGGCTGCTTCTGGCTCTGAGTCCTGCCTCAGTACCTTGTCAGGTTGGGTGGGGCAGGCATACACGATCTCCGCGTCCTCTGCTGAGAAATAGTCATTCTTCAGCAAATTGTCCACTAAACACTGAATGTTGCGGATGTGCGTGACTAGAAGTTCCCGGTTGACCTTCAACAATCTAATACAGGAGTGAGACTCGGATGGGTCACCTTCCATCTCACGATGGCCCTGCTTTTCCATAGCTCAGGTAGCAAGCAGCTGCTTCCCCCAAATTCATCTTCGGCTGCATGTGTCTTCCTGGCAGAAGAACCATCAGGCTCCAGCGCCCTCTTCTCAGTCCCTGAAGAGACACACATCAGCTAAGCAAAAGCAGTGGAAAGCTCTCTCCTACTCTCACCAGTGATGTTGGGGTTTCTCTACTTAGAGCTGGAGGGAGCCACACAAGACTGTTATCTGAGATGCACTGGGGGGGCTCATAATTCAATTATATCTACTTACAGGTCTTTACATCATTAGGGTGGGTGACCAGATAGAGCCAACAATTTTGCTTAGCGAAATTAATCATTCCTATTTTCACAAACAAAAATGTGCCTTGCTCTTACACTGTGTTGAGATGGGAAGATGTGTTATTTTACTAAGCTCAAAGGGGACTGGAGGTTTCAGCATGCTCAAGGGAAGAATTCAGTGAGCCCAGAACCAAGAGCTGAGAACTGAGGTGTTGTTCGATCAGAAGGTTTAGGCACAGAACGGCCCGAGAAGAGCAACAGCCAGCACTGAGGCAGCCAGGGCCAAGGTGCATAAGGGCAGTGATGTCTCCGTCATGACCACCCTTTCTGGGCTGAGCCACAGCTCCGCACCTGAGCCCGGCTACTGTGGCAGCTTCCACAAAGTCTGTTCTGCACAGCACTTCAGAGAAGGCAGGAGAAGCAATGCCATATACGGAGTAAGGGACAGAGGGAGCTGGCATGAGTTTTCAGGGCTCCCTGACCAGCAGAGGCGTCTGTCTCCTGGGAACCCGCATGCACCTGCTCAGGATGGAAGACAGTCAAGCTATTTTGGTATTAAAAGGACCCTTCTGCTCACCAGAGTTATCTCGTAATTGTACCAGTCTGATTTCTTGTAGCAGTGAAAACAAAACTAAGATCCTTTAGCTACACTTTTAGTCAACCTTGCGCTTGCAGAATGAATCATCTTGGAGGTAGAAAAGCCTTGAGCTGGCTACTTATTTCTCTGTCTAAGTAAGACACTGTACACATTTTCAGAGAGATGCTTTAAACTTTGTGGTTGTTGAGATGAAAATACTTGGGGACTTCTGAACACTCTCAGCGTCATTAATTTATGTTAATGTTTGTTACTGTGTAACATAACAGTGCCATTTATGTCACGTTAGCATTGAAGTTGGGTGGTTCTCGAAGTTCTCTCCACCGAGCTGCATGGTATTTTCTGCTCTGCCTACTTCATCTATCAAATTCTAAGCCTATATAGAGATTCCCAGCTGGATCCCACACGATAACTTTCCTTCGATAGCCTGAGTGAGCAAAGTGACAGTTCAACAGAACATTCTAAAGGAAGGAAGGGTAAGTAAGAGCTACGTAATGAAGAGAATTTAAAGGTGTGGAACGATTAGTTATGATGTCACTAGAAGCGTGCTAGCTTACCAGATGGGAAAGGAACCCTTTCTACTGGTGTCACGTCACTCACATAGCCCAGGATGGCTGCACACTCCCCCAGTCCTCCTGCCTCAGCCTCCTGGGATGGCAGACATGTGCTACTTACCACTTATTAACCTTTGCCTTCAATTGAAAATTTAAGATTCTACTAGCTTAAGTAACACTTTGTGTCATCATTGGGAATAGAAAACAACTCACGATAAATAGGAAAGTGACACAAAAATAAATGCACCAGAAAAAAATAATGTAAGTGTGGTGCAGCTGGTGGTACTGCCCAGAAAGACTTTGTGTTTTAGGCCTGTTTTTTGGGGTGTTTTTTTTTTTTTTTTTTGTGTGTGTGTGTGTGTGTGTGTGTAAGCATCTGGGATATAATATAGACACAGTAGCACAGAACTGAGGTCAGAAGATCGTCAGAAGTCTGAGAGAAAAGTATGAAGGCAGTCATTTTCTCACGTAGTGAGTTGGAGGTTTTTAATGTCACCCTGCCCTCTTTTGGAGGATGGGAGTAAGGCTGCACAGCTTGCTTCATCTGTCTCCCATGAGGGCCCCTTTCTGTCTCTGTGCCTGTGACCTCCACAAAGATAGGAGCTTATCTTCCTGGATTTTTCTGTAATAACTACCGATTCTCCTTCTCTCCAAAGGTGAGAACTTGAGGAAACCTCCCGATTTCTGCCCGCCTGGCCAGGCAGTGTGCTTGGGTCACTGGGCAGCTGGCAGGCGGTGTTTGTAATTTCCAGGGTCCAGGTTTGGAATTTGACCAGCTGTGCACTTAGCTCATTTCAGCAGACACTCAGTGACTTTGGATGTCAAACCGAATGCTGCTCTGGCAGACAGAACCTAAGCGTAGACTGCATCCATTCCCTGGAGAGTTCCTGGACATCTGGCCATAAACACCAGGGTGCCAGGTGCTCCTTGTCCCGAGAGGAGCCTGGCTGTCTTCATCAGATAGAGGGTTGGTCCTGTGGGGAAAGGAGAAAGGGAAGAATAAAGGAAAAGGGGAGAAGAAAGGGAAAGGGAAGGCGAGGCAAGGTTAGGGCCAAGCCAGGATACTGAAAGCTGGGTCTGCCTTATGGGGTTTGGTTTTCTCAGCAGTAGGGTAGAGCAGTGAGGACCAGTGATGAGGAGATGGGACAGGAGGCAGCTCCAAGAAACAGTCAAGCCAAGTGACCAGAGTTGCCCAGGAGGGCTTTGAAGTTGTGATTCTCCTGCCTCAGCCACTAGAACAGTAGTGGCAAACTGGTAGCAAGCATGACAAAGCAGACATGCAGAGCCCTCTCTGTTGGCATGTGAACCAAGAGTACAAGTTTTTTCTAAACTAAAACCTCAGAATTCAGGTTGAATAGCAGTGTTGGTGCTTTGTGATAAATATCATAAGCAGCTTTTGGATAGCAGTTTGGGCAGCCGGTCTCTAAAAGATTCCCTATCGCTGCTCCAGGGTAAGTAGCAGGAATTACAGATGTGTGCCACTCCATCCAGTTCTCTGTGGCCTTCTGATCTGCCCTGAGAAGCTTAATTCTTAAAGTAAAAGAATTCCAGGAGCAATCCTCAACTCCAGGATTATTGTGGAAATTGGTGCTCAGGGGCCACTCTCTGATTTGAGTTTCTACAGTAAGTAAAACACTTCAGAATTCTGAAGAGAAGATTCAGGAAATCTGCCCGGACAGTAGCAAAGCAGGGGCTGGGGGAAGACAGTCAATGAAAGCAGAAAAGAAGTATAGGAAAAAGTGATTCTATAAGATGATAGAGCAGCATTATTTAGTTGAAATAAAATAAAAGCCTCCTAGTCATTTAAAATCGTCCAGTAGCCACATTAATAAAACTAAAAACAAATGAAATTAATTTTAATAATTTATTTCATTTAGCTCAATATGTTCAAGATATTATTTCAATGTCTTAAATATAATTTTTTTTTCGGAACCAAGGATTGAACTCAGGCCCTTGTGCTTGCCAGGGAAGCGCTTATTCTACTGAGCCATCTCCCTGGCCCAAATATAAAATTATTAAAGATGTATTTTACACGTATTTTATACTAAGCCCTTGAAATCTGGCTGTTTTGTTGAGCACATTTCCACTTGGACATGGCCAGCACTCAGTAGCCACATATCAAATACAATTCTGCAGTTTGGGTGCTTAGGTTCAAATGTGCTCTGGGTGAGGTCGGAAGGACCTCTGTGCTCCTGGTAGGAGTGCGAACTGGTGGAACATCTGGAAAGGAAAACCGTTTGATAGCACATGTCTGCAGCCTGTGAAAAGTGTCAAATCAGTAACTTCCCCTTCTAGAAACCAGCCTTTTGGAAAGAATGGGAGGCTCTGACACCAGGGAGCTCAGAGTCTGTAGCTTCCACCATGGGCCATGAATAGATCAGCAGAGTAGTACAGTCACACAATAGTGTACCAATCACAATAGACGTGAATGAGACACAAATACAACACAAGTGCAATAAACCACAGATATTGGGCTGAGAGAAACCAGACACACACAAAAATGAAACACAGTATATGATTCCATGCATAGGTTTCTGAAAATCAGATCTAAAACTTGAGTCCATGGTTCCATGGGGCAGGGAATAGATGGGAATGAAGGAAATATTGGCTGCAAAGAGGAACAGGGAAAGTTCTAGAAACATAAATGATCTAAATCTTGAGTGGAGTAATATCTATGTTTATGTTTATATCTATATCTATATCTATTTCTATATCTATCTATCATATGTGTGTATCTACAATCAGATCTTATCCTTGGGTTCTGCATCCTTAGATTCAACTAAATATGGATCCAAAATATTTGGAAAAAAGTCTGAGCATGTATAAATTTTCTTATTACTCTCTAAACAATGCAGTATAACTATTTGCATAGCATTTATATTGTATCAGAAATTATAAGTAATCTAGAGATGATTTAAATAAAACATCTCAGTTACTTTTCACTCACTGGTGGGACAAAATGCCCAACACCCAAAATTAAGGAAGCAAAGGTTGACTTAGCTCACAGTTAGTCGAGGTTTCAGTCCATACTCAGCTGGCACCCAGGTAGCAGAATGGCACATGGCATAGAGAAGGTGTTCATGGTGGCAGCAAAGGGCACAGAGCAACAGGAGGGGCAGAAGCTCCTGTGCCTACTTAGCCTCACTCCCCTCCTTAATTGTAATGCAGATCACCCACCTCAGGGCCAGGGTGTAGCACTCACACCTGCAATACCAGCATCAGATCAAGAATCAATCACAAACTCCAGGGCTGGCCGAATAGCTCAATGGATTAAAGCACCCGCAAGCAGGCGCAGGGGCCTGCTGTGCCAGCCCCACCCCCAGGGCACGCTGGGACGGCAACTGAAACTGGGTGTGGTGGTGCGCTCTTGAGAGGCTGTAAACAGGTGGATCACTATGATTCAGATCTAGAAGTGAGGCCCTGATCACCCTGTACACCTTTCCCTAAAATACAAAAACAAAAACAAAAACAACAATGAAAAAAAACCTCCAGAAGCTACCCCATGACTGCATGAAGCTTTGGGGTAACAACTAGAAGCAAACCACAACATAAAGTATACACAAGGGCATACATAGATTACTATACCATTTTATAACAGAAATTTAAGTCAGACACTGTCTAAAAGATGTACAAAGAGTGGTACAGGGCTACAGGATAAATCCTGAGAGTACCTGGCTGACCTTATCAGATACAAAAGTTACATTTCTTGTTATATAGGTCTTGCTATATCTTGGTCTTAACCATCCAGCAGAAAAGTATGAAAATGAGGTATATAAAGTAAATCCATATTAATACGATGAGCTATAAAAGGCTCAAGTCAATAACTTCTGAGGTTAACCCACTAATATTATAGGCTGCTAGACAGTGTTAGATTGTTTAGTTGAATTCAAACACCTACAGTATTTAGATGCCAATAGAATATTCACCTCTGACAGGACAAAAAAAAATTTAAATTTAAATTTAAATTTAAAAAAAAGATACAAAGGAAAGATCATTTTGTATTTATATATACAAAATAGTTAGGATAAATTTACAGCTACTTTTGCTTAACTTAATGAGAAGAAAGAGGTGTACTAACAGTGTTTGGACAGAATATCCTGTCTGCTTCTTGTACTATGGATAACCACTAAGAAGATAACAATGTACAGCATATTGACTATCAAAACTATCCTATTAATCAGCTGTGAAACTGTCTCATTCACATTTATTTCTCAATAAAAAAATATATTAAAAAAATACACAGAAATTTAAGCCTTCAGTGATTTGGTATCCACAGGAGGTTCTAGAGCCCATGGACACTGAATGTTGTGGTTTGTGTCTACTTGTCCCCTAAGGCCTCATGCAGTCACTGGGGCAGGTTCCTAGAGGTTGTGCTTAATTCATGATCCAATGCTGGGATTATGAGTGTGAGTGCTACACCTGTCCTGAGGCAGACAGCCTAAATACAAAATAAGGGAGAGAGGTTCGCTGGCTGCTCTAGCCACTGCCCCTTCTGTTTGACCTTTTGTTCTTTGTTGTTTTTTCCATCACCATGAACTGCTGCTCTCAGCCATGTGCCGCTCTGCCTTAGAGCCAGCCGAGTATGGACTGAAACCTTCACAAACTGTGAGCTAAGTAAATCTCTCCTTCCTTAATTTAGGGTGTCAGGTATTGTGTTCCAGCAACAAGGGAAAAGTAACTATGACACCGAAGGAGCAGTTCACAAATATACACATCCATAGACATATGTTTTCTCAAGCCATCAACCTGTATATTTAAAATCTATAAATGTGATATGAGTTAGAATTCAGTGAAGTTGATTTGTTAGAAGCAGAAGCAAAGACAAACTCAGATAAAATCTGAGCCTTTGTTGCTAGAATACACTAAAGTAAATATGAAATAGAAATTTTCAAGTAGAAGGAAAGTGATCTCAAGACAAACATAAAATGATGAGCAAGAGAAAGTCCTAGTACGTGGACACATATAAAAGTATATTGACCAAACAAAGCAATATTAACCATCTAAAACATGTGTTGAACTAACATGCATGACAGCAAGGTGGGGGGAAGTCTTGGAGTTAATGTCTCTGTTCTAGCAAAGCATGTGTGGGTAGCAGGCAAATGTGTGACTTTAAACTTCAGGGTTGTAGGGGAGGGAAGAAGGATCTCCTATTTTGCCCTGGCTGGCCGGGAACTCACAGTTATCTTGCTTCCACCTCCCATATAGCTGGGATTATTAGCCCACATCACCATGCCCATCTAAAAGTATTGCTTTATGTTAATAATTCAAAAATTTCAGGTTTTAATCTCTAAGATGAGGACTAAGGAATAGTGAAGGAATGCAAAAATAACAGGAAGAGAAAATGGAATAATAAATATTATTTCTGAAAGAAGGCCGACAGAAAAATAGGAAAGAGGTGAAATAGAAACAAAAGAGCCAATAGGTATACCCCAAAATATATGTTTTAAAATTAAATATAAATGGACTAAATATACAGGTGTATTTAGACTTGACAGGAAAAACTGCATGCTGCTTAAAAAGTGTGTAGGGTAATCCTGATTTAGCAGCTTGATTGAATTAAAGAGCGTAGGTTAGCGAGGCATTTTTGGGTGCATCTGGCTGGGTCATGGGGGCGACCTTGGGTGCTCCGTGCAGCCTCTGGCCCCATCCTCTCTGGAGTGGCTTCCCAGCTGTCATGAGTGAAGCAGCTTTGTCCTGTCCAACCCTTCGGCCATCATGCTCCTTGCTTGGAACCCAAGGATCGTGGGCTGCACCCTCTAAGACCAGGAGCCAACTGTACTTCTCCTCCTTTACACTGTAATGTACGATGTGTGATATGTCTCAGCAATGAAGACTGACTAGTATGAAGACCTGCCTTAAATAAGGTGACAACTCAGCTAATTCATTCAACATTGAAATACAGGAAAGGTATACTATACACTAAAAGAAAACTGGCGGGGTTATATTGAAGTTAAGGTAGAATGTTTAAATGATACCAGAGGTAGAGGGATATTGCATGATGACGGGTTAATCGGATCTCTAGAATACTTTAAAATGCTTCATTTGTATGTGCCCACAACACAGCTTCACAATATATAAAGCAGGAATTGATACAGGTGAAATAGACAAATCCACAGACATAGTGAAGGACTTGAAGAATGGATAGACCAAACATCCAGAAAACCCAAAAGCACATGAGAACACGGAGGATCTTGACAGTTAAGGCGAACAGTTAAAGTTAATGTGAATTCAGCGGCGTTTACAAAGCACCACACTCAGCAGCAGCCCAGTGCTGCGTCGGAAGTGCACATGAAGTGTTTGTCAAATTGGCCATCATCTGCACTAACCTGCGAATTCCTCACCCATTTCAGGGGGCTGAAATCAAGACTGACTACACTGGAATCAAACTTGAAGTCAATAATAGAAAAGGTATCTTTAAAAAAAAAAGTCCCCAAATTGCACCAGAGATAGCTCAGTGGCATAAGGGCCTCCTGCCTAGCAAAGTCCAGAGTTTGATCTCTGGTACAAAAAAAAAAAAAAAAAAAAAAAAAAAAAATTCACAGGACAAAAAACCCTAAAAATGGAAATTAACAATATTTTGAATTCTATGATAAGGAAAATAATACAACATATCAAAATTTTCATAATAAAGTCATAGAAATGTATAGCCTTATGTATATTAGCAAACAAAAATAAGAATTAAATATTGCTTTTATCATCTTAAATTTATTACTAACAATAGATGTTTACTCCTTTTCATAAATATCTTCTGAAAAGGCTTTTACAGTACATGTGAAATTTTAGACACAGACAGTATTCCTATACTTCCTACGCATTACATATGTGGTCATATAAATACTCATACTGAGAAAAAAGACCAGGAGGAAATCCACATCAATTGTGATTATTGAGCTACAGGATTACACAGATGATTTCTATTACTTTGCTTTGGGGGCATATTTTAAATCCCCTGAAATAAGACAATGGCAACATAAATGAGGCGAATTTGGACCCTGGATTGGAGGAGGTCTGTACCAGCCAGAAGGCTGGGACGGCAAGAGCAGCCCAAGGCGGAGCAGGGCTTTGCTGCTGACCCGCCGTCAGCGTGACCACAGCTGCACACAGTGATGTCACCCAGACACATGGTTGTCCTAGAAGGGAGAACAACTGAGACCCGTGGGCGGAGGCGACTCTTTCTGTTTCTGTCCCCTAATCCTGGGGAGGTCCCAGGGAAACCACAGACATACACACATTCAACACCACTTTCTAACAAGGGACTCACCCAGGCTTTTGCCTTTCCTTTTCACTGTCCCACAGCACCCTGAAAAACATGCATTTCTCAAGCCTGCAGTGCCAAGAGAGAAAATGGATCCACAAAGATGTTCTCCAGGTGTCTTCTATGTTTTAGTGACTTTGCCCATATAGCTGGTCACTGTGGAAAATCTGTGAAGTGAAAGGAAAAAAAAAGCTTATAGGAAACAAATTAAGTTACCTGTCACTCTCAGGCCAGAGTCACTATTACATCTGGGTGTTTCCATTCAACTTTCACCTTTGTGCGTGTATGTGGGTACTGGCATTTTACACATTTGGCATCACCCCACATTTTTGTTGTGTTCTGACTATTAGCCTTTCTTTCTTT